TTTTTTACAAACTAACCCCATTTTTAGCCATGTCCCGCTCAGGAAGAACTTTTATATCTTCATCCTTTCCCTTTCTAAAGCCATTCAAGACCTCATCCCTGCAGGTGACTAAGAACAGTGAACCGAACATCGTTTCATGCAATATCTGTTTGTTTTTTTAAAGTGCATGTGTCACTTTTGTCAGTTTGGCTTGGAGCTATTGTCTGACAGCCATCCTTAAAGTCCAACCCACCTCGGCTCTATCATTTGCATCCCAGAAACTAGGCCAATTACTTTAATTAGCGCTCCTACTGAATGTAGGCTGGAGGCATCATATAAGGAAGGAAAGCTCTTGTAATGCCATGGTTTTTGACTAAGTCATGCATTGGTGACTTGAGTTTGTGGCTAGAGGGGGATGCTTTGGCTTCAGGCCCAAGTTTTAAGGTAAATTTAGATTAGGAATGCTTGTCCAATAAATAGTCAGGTGCTATTTGTGCTATTTGTACTATTTGGCAGTGTCTTATGTGTGTCCCGTGGTAAAGTAGAGGGAAGGACAAGCTGTTGACTAAATTTCAATTTGCAAACTGAAACCAACTTTTTGCCAGTTGTGTAGCAACACAAATGTTTTTGACCAGTTTAAACACTTAAACCAGCAGTTCTCAACCTTTTTGATTCCCAGAAACAACCAACACTTTTTAAATAAATTATTATAATTCAAGTTGCAATAATTAAATTGTAGAATTACAATGGGGGTGAATTAAAATAAGAAATACCTTTTTTGTTTGATTTAGCTTATTTTTGTCACTCATTGGGATACAGCAGAGACAAGGTGAAGCAAGATCCAAATGCAGCAGTCTTTATTTTCAAACTAACTCAAATCTTTACAGAAAAACCAAGTAGCAGGAACAGAACCTAGAATTGAGACGTCGACCCTGAAGGCTGACGAGGCCGTGGCTTAGCAGGACAGGAAGCTTCCAGGACGGAGCCGGCAGTCCAGGGATCCAGGGCGGATCGGCCTCTGTGGCCTTGACCCTTGGCCCGTCCACTATGGCCGGGGACATATACATCGGGTTGATGTAAATGACAACTTTTTTGAAAACGATGTTGTGTGCATTCAGAATATTCGTTTCTCTAAATACCCGGCAATGTGTAAATGTGGCCTGGGTGTCACATGAACACAAACACTAAACGTGACAATTTTAAAGCATTTTTTTCTAATTTTAAATCATGTTGAGGCCTCCAATTTTAAAGCGTTTTTTTTTTTTTTTCTAGAAACCACTGGTTATAGCTAGTGGCTAATTCCAACTGACTCCTGTTGTGAAAAAAAAATTGGTTAGTAAAGAAATGCTGTCAATCTAGTCAACCTCAACTCATTTTAGAATAATTTAGAGGGGAAAAAATTTGTTTTTAACTAGGATGAAAGAGGAAAAGCAGTGAAGGACAGATGGAAGACGAAACAAGATGGAGAGAGACAGAGAAAGGGAACAGCAAAGGCATTCTTGCTTGCTCGGTTTGGCATCGTGTGAGAACTTTTCCACCCTTGTGTGCTTCTGACTAACACAAAAACACTCAAGAAGCTCACATAAACTCAAGCACACGCAAACACATCCTCAACATATTCTCTGCTCATAGTCTCACTGAATCATCTCTGCTTTCCCAGAGTTTGACTTGTTTTTACAAGAATGTGCAAGAACCTCTTTGTGTGTGTGTGTGTGTGTGCGTGCAGGATAGTGAGAGTGATAGGTGGGAACAGATGTAGTAACAGAAGTCCCTGGCATTATAGCAGAGAAAATTAACAATATAAAGCGATTAATACAGTTAGTATTATTTACCCCAAACAAAACACATGTTAATGATCGCTACAGATTTCAATGGATGTCACTATTTATTACAGTTCTCACACTTGCTGATGTAAAAGTTTTTAAAAGTCACCAAAAACCTCTATGACTAATTGTATGGACCAAAAACCCTTCTTTTTTCCTCACACAAAAAAAAAAGTTTCACAGAAGAAAGACACCTGGGTTTGAACCGACATGAGTTGAAATCATTTTTGAGTGAAATTCTGTATGGTGAGGAGGAGGAATTTGCTCTCTTTCAAAACAACATTGATAAAGCAAAGCAGCTGGAAACTCTGTTTTCTCTTCTTTTCCTCTTACTTCTCTTGTTCACTCTTGGCGGTCATTCAGCTTTCAATATATTTGGATTTCGAGCTGATTGGTGACCTGTCTCAGTAAAGGGCCGTCTAGAGACGCCATCAGCACCTTCTTTCCAGGAGTTCGAGGGACCATCGACACTATATATTTCACTGAGCCACCAGGTAATATCTGGCTGCAAGTGGAAGACATAAGAGACAAAACATTTTGGGAATTCAGCCAAAGGTGCATTTAGTTTTGTACTGTATGTCTTCCCATTTCTGATTGCAACATACAGGATCTTTTTCACACAAAAAGATAATTATAAATAAACATGTGGAAAATGTACACTCACCTAAAGGATTATTAGGAACACCTGTTCAATTTCTCATTAATGCAATTATCTAATCAACCAATCACATCGCAGTTGCTGCACTGCATTTAGGGGTGTGGTCCTGGTCAAGACAATCTCCTGAACTCCAAACTGAATGTCAGGATGGGAAAGAAAGGTGATTTAAGCAATTTTGAGCGTGGCATGGTTGTTGGTGCCAGACGGGCCGGTCTGAGTATTTCACAATCTGCTTAGTTACTGGGATTTTCACGCACAACCATTTCTAGGGTTTACAAAGAATGGTGTGAAAAGGGAAAAACATCCAGTATGCGGCAGTCCTGTGGGCGAAAATGCCTTGTTGATGCCAGAGGTCAGAGGAGAATGGGCCGACTGATTCAAGCTGATAGAAGAGCAACTTTGACTGAAATAACCACTCGTTACAACCGAGGTATGCAGCAAAGCATTAGTGAAGCCACAACACGCACAACCTTGAGGCGGATGGGCTACAACAGCAGAAGACCCCACCGGGTACCACTCATCTCCACTACAAATAGGAAAAAGAGGCTACAATTTGCAAGAGCTCACCAAAATTGGACAGTTGAAGACTGGAAAAATGTTGCCTGGTCTGATGAGTCTCGATTTCTGTTGAGACATTCAGATGGTAGAGTCAGAATTTGGCGTAAACAGAATGAGAACATGGATCCATCATGCCTTGTTACCACTGTGCAGGCTGGTGGTGGTGTAATGGTGTGGGGGATGTTTTCTTGGCACACTTAAGGTCCCTTAGTGCCAATTGGGCATTGTTTAAATGCCACGGCCTACCTGAGCATTGTTTCTGACAATGTCCATCCCTTTATGGCCACCATGTACCCATCCTCTGATGGCTACTTCCAGCAGGATAATGCACCATGTCACAAAGCTTGAATCATTTCAAATTGGTTTCTTGAACATGACAATGAGTTCACTGTACTAAAATGGCCCCCACAGTCACCAGATCTCAACCCAATAGAGCATCTTTGGGATGTGGGGGAACGGGAGCTTCGTGCCCTGGATGTGCATCCCACAAATCTCCATCGACTGCAAGATGCTATCCTATCAATATGGGCCAACAGTTCTAAAGAATGCTTTCAGCACCTTGTTGAATCAATGCCACGTAGAATTAAGGCAGTTCTGAAGGCGGTCAAACACAGTATTAGTATGGTGTTCCTAATAATCCTTTAGGTGAGTGTATATGGACATCTACAAAAATAAATAAATGTGTCTTTGTATATGTCTGGGCATGGTGTGTGGTGGAATAGTTGACAAGACAGTTATTTATTCATTTGCATTTGCTATATTTCACTAGCCAGTGTGATATAAATATGAAGTTTACCTGTAATTTTTTATTTTGGTTGGTATCAGACCAGGTCCATCAAGGCGGAGCTGAACATTTCGCAGGATGAAATTATAGGGATTCTGGAAATCCACACTGATGGTGAGATCTTTGCCAACTCGGGGGGGTCCAGACATCTGTGGACGAGTTATAATGTAGAGCACCAACAAATGTTTAGTGCTTTTACATACAGTAGCTCTTTGTACATGTACACAGGTAAGTTTGTAAAATCTTATAAAATAACATAATAAATATGTGACCAGGATTACATAAAATAAGCCAAATCTGCATAAAGTGTCTATCAGTTCAACTTTTGAAAAAACGTGTTTTATGTGAACGAGCCCTTATTGTGTTTTTATCAGTACTTTTTTCAGTTGATGCACTAAAAATAGTGTTTTGTTAAGTTTTATTTACGTAACTCCCATCAAGCAGATGGCAACTGTCAAGTGTCTACAACAGATGCGAGTGAACCGACCATTTATAATCCGTGTTTCTTTCCACGCTGGATGTGGCGCAACATGACAAATCCATGACAGTTAACTCATGTCACATCCTATTTCTAATGAGCTCTATGCGCTTGACCTCTTTCTGACATGAAGGGCAAATTAACTTGCAATGTTCACTTTGATCTGTCCAAGCTTTAAAGATAGTCATGTTCTTTTTTTCTATTAAGGTTAATTTTTGTTTGCTTCTTTCTACCTTTATTTGTCCTTTTAAAGAAAGTAAATCAATCAATAAATAAATATAGGTTAGGGACAACACTGAGGGTGAGTAAATTATGACAGAATGCTAATTTTTGAGTTATCCCATTAAGAAAAATGTACACATATACTTTAACTATTTCAAATCTAAATCTGAATTTTAATCCAATTTGAAATCTGTATCAATACCAAGCCCTACACTTTTTACCATTGGATATTTACCATTTTTATTGTGAGTTTAGGAGGCTGGAGAGTGACTACTTTCATCGTGGAGAGGGACATGTCAGTTTCCTCAATATGCCCGTACACCACAAAGAGCAGGTTGCCCTGATCCACCAGGTATGGTGTATACTCCGAAGAATAGACATCTACCGTCAGAGACTCAGCTGTAAAGATATTATGATCACACTATAGCCTTATCCATTATCACTGTTCCTAGAGTTCCTTTGAGCTGTTATAACTCAATCTCAAACTAATGTGCAGTTTTACTGAAACAGTTGTGACTCACTCTTCAAGGCTTTTATGGTTGCAACTTTGTTTTCGAGCTTAAAGGTCATGCTGACGATGCCTGTGTAAAACGCCACACAGCCAGTGATGGTAGCATTGATGGTGCAAGTCTGGCTGGTCTGGTTGTTAATCTTCAGCGTCAGCTTGAAGTTATCGCCCATTTTGACGGCGTCGGCCTTGAGCTCGATGGTCACTCCTGCTTCAGTGGGTGGCAAATAATCCCTGGCAGGAATGCCGGAACGCTCTGCATTTTGCCAGGCCTCTCTCTCCTTGAGGGTTTCTAGAGTCAGAAGGGTTGAAGGTAAATTGCTGGGATTTTCCACTGCTTCCCACACCATCAGTCAAACCACTATTGTTTGTTGCTCATGTACATAGGGTGTTTGGCATCCTTATGGAAGTCTGTTGAATAATTAAATAACTGAAGGACTCTGCTGAGTCTCCTAAGTGACTCTAGAGAGCTTTTGAGTGATTAAAACCAGCTGTGTTCTTAAACTGTCAATCAAAGAATCCAGAAGGCAACACAATGTATTTGGACTGCCCTTGAATATCAAATGACCCATGATAGATAAACATTCAAGGCTTTCAAGATGTTTTAGATAGGGCTGGGTATCGAGTTTAATACTTTTTAGGCTTAAGGGTCAAGAGCCCAACTAAAACAAACACCGATCACCATAATGATGACTTACAATTACGTTTTTTCTCCTTCAGTGATTCTGCTTGTTAACATCAGGTGTCTTCAATGTTGGCAATATAAAATAAAGAGTTCTTAATTCATCTTTGACGGCTGTCTGTTATTCAGATATTTTTGATTGATTTTTTTGTGTAAATTTTACTCATTTTAAATGGTTAACTTTTGAGGAATTAATTTGATGAATTATTACTCAATTCTAATTTGTTAAATTTAATTAATAATGTTGCTTGTAATCTGTTGCCACAATTATATTGACTAGATATAGCGTATTCATTTTTACAGTGCAAGGCCCTTGAACTGAATTCTGCCTGACAAGCAGGGTAAAAGGTTCTTTCTAATCACTTCCTAGTCACTAATACAATGGTAAACTGTAGCTTCTCCAAGGCTTGTGTTCAAATTTAGCTTCCAACACTTAAAGGATTCATTTTTCTCAGGAAACCCCTGTCAGCTACCGTGACATCCCGAAGTTCACATGCGAAGTGTCAGTCGTATCAGAGATAGAATCACATAGCTACAATGATCTAATGACTCCTGATCTAATGTCACATCACTTCTTAATTCTGTAGACTGATATGGAATGAAACTTACTTTCTGGATATTTATAGGTAGAAGTGATGTCCTCATAGATGCTACTGCCTGGTTTGTTTGTCAAAATGAGCTTTCCAACATACCCGGTGTCCACAGAGATAACCTTCATTTTTCCCTGCTTATCAGACCGATGGAATATCACATCACCGTTCAGCTGAAGACAGGAGAAAGTTATTTTTTCATGTCCATTTGCTTGTACAGTAGCTAAGATTTTAATGTATTGTAAATTAAATCTAAAGGTATAAATATCAACGAGAATTGACATTAGGGATGTGCCCGTATTCTACATGGTGATGGAAAAAAATTAGCCTGACTACGTCAGACTTCGCACTTCCGCTCAATTTCATTTCGCTTCTGTACTTAGTCTGAGACATCGACATGTCTCTCAGTTTTCCTCCTACCTGAAAACACCCGGCCAATCAACGAACAGAGGGCGGGCTGAGTGCCGTGACGTAGACGCTAAGCGCCGAGTTTAAGATTGGGGAAGTTGAAAACGACCGCGGATATGGAGACACGGGATGCAATTCGCTCTGTTGTGGAGAATATTCCTGGCATTTCCAAACTGAAGACCGAACAAGAAGAGTGTTTGGTAAACATTTTGAATGGAGGTGATGCCGTGGCCCTACTCTCGACAGGTTTTGGTAAAAGTTTAATTTATCAAATATTACCGATAGTCAGCGAGAAACTGGGCAGGCCAAAGGCCGGCAAGGCGATAGTTGTGATTGTGTTCCCCTTGGTTGCACTCATGGAGGATCAGGTTAAGGAGGCAGCAAAACTCGGTCAGCCATGTTCACTCCGGCATTTCGCTCGATGGTTTCGTTTTCGCACGTGTGTTTACAGTGGAAGTTCGATGCGGCTGAGCTGGCGAATAACACACGTCATAACCAAACGTTATGTGATTGGCTTACGGGTAACCAATGATTTTATACTTCAGACAAGCGCCATTATTATTTTTAATGGATACCCTGCAGCCAATCAGAATGGAGTATTCACCCAGACCATGGTATAACTACTATTAACTAACAAGAAACTCTGATTAACAAATTAGTAAGTAATAGCGCTCAGTTGAATGTGGTAGTTCACTATTAGCTAATCAGTAACTTAGGGGTGGAACGGTACACAGAAGTCACGGTTCGGTTCAGACCTCGGTTCAGACATCACGGTTCGGTACGATTTCGGTACAATGGAGGGAAAAGCAAAACAAAAATGCAGAAGGCATTGTATTTTTTAAATAAGTTTTATTAATAAAGGTATAGAACCAGTTTATTTGTAGTGCACTGACAATGGTTTTATATGATTAGTTTATTAATTAAATTAATAAAAAGACAAAAAGACCTTGCGATATGTTTGGTAATTGTACCTGAATTAATTTAAAATTATTTTGCTATATTTCAGATCAATATATTTGTTTTCCTTAATTTTAATTAACATTATTAATTGACAATGTAACATTATTCTCATCTGAATTACAAATAATTGATTTCTGTATAAAATAATACTACCATTAAAAACACATTCGATTTTCTTTTTTTAATCAATGTAGAATGTGTAAGATTAGTCCTCCGAGGGGCAATAAATGAAAACCAATGCAATATGATGAATGTCCAAAAGATGGGACCCACAGACTGTTTTGAAATGGAGTTGGATAAATATGTTTTGCTTTTAAAACAGTGTGTGTGTGTGTGTGTGTGTGTGTGTGTGTGTGTGTGTGTGTGTGTGTGTGTGTGTGTGTGTGTGTGTGTGTGTGTGTGTGTGTGTGTGTGTGTGTGTGTGTGTGTGTGTGTGTGTGTGTGATTTTGGTTGGGTGACAGTTTTAGGTTACAGTTTGACAAGAGTTTACGGTGTGACAAAAGCACAATATTGTGTTTTATTGCGAGTGTACACAAATATAAGTAAACACTTTGCAGGTTTAATGATCTGTATGAACAAAATGATGGAGTATAGGCTATGTTTTTTATGTTTCCACTGTTCGATCGCGCCCGCCTCTCTCTCTCTCTCTCTCTCTCTCACACACACACACACGCAGAGTTCGATCGCGCCCGCGCTTCTCTCTCTAGCCATGTTTCCATCCACTTGTCAATCGAATTATCTGAAGTTCGGTAAAAAACCTCATGCGAATAAAGCTGGTGAAAGTGTGTTTCCATCAAACGGCTTTAAAGCGGATAAAAACCTGTGCGTAATGACGTCACATGCTGTTTTGCGATCAAATTGGTATATCGAATTGATTTGAGACATGTTAAGGTGTTTCCATTCATTTTCTCACCGAATTGCACAACATTCAAGCCAACATTTGCGAACAAAGTTTTACTAGGCAAAATGGATCGCACCATAATAACGTTTCCATCAGCGTTTATCGCATAAGCCGTATATCGATCAAGATCAAATCCGATGAGACCGATTGTATTTCATTTGAGTCGATATTCATGAAATTCAATCGAATTTTACTGTTTCCATAAGACATTTTTCATTTGATATCACTTAATGCGGATAAAAACGTGTGGATGGAAACATAGCTTCTCACACATACACACATACACACACACACACAGAGTTCGATCGCGCCCGCGCCTCTCTCTCTCTCTCTCTCTCTCTCTCTCTCTCTCGCGCACACACACACACACACACACACACACACACACACACACACTCCAGCATTGCAATCTTGACATCGCAGCCTGTTCATTGTGCGGTCACACCAAACGCGAATAGAGCGTCAAATTCGCGTCTAGTTCGACGCTAGTCCAAAGCGAATAGGACGCGCGTATAAAGCCAACGTTTGACGTGAACGCGCGTTCAGAGCTAAGCCGATGGTACAGATTACGTGTCCCTAAAGAACCCGCGTATCTAACAGTAGTTCCGCATTACATTTACTAATTTGTACGCGAGTTTTATTTATTTTTATACCGTGTATTCTCCGTGTAAATTCGTGCACCGAACCGTGACGCCTGTACCGTTTCGGTTCAATACGAATACATGAACCGTTCCACCCCTACAGTAACTACTATATTTTTTCATACCTCCCAGATAACTACTATGTACAGGTTCAGAATTAACATGAATAATGCATAATTTATAATAAAAGGTAACGGTAACCCACTAGTAATGACTCAGGTGTTACTACATATTTGTATCAGTATTCTAAAGTGAAAAGCATGATAACTGCCTAATATTGACTGAAGTCATTGTAAGCTTTTGAGTGTTTTGTAAGATTTTGAATAGTAATTCCTTCCGATGAATTTGGTAACACTTTAATCATTACTAGTGTGTTCCCATGATCTTCACTTTAGAATACTGATCCAAATAACTAGTAGTTCCTTAAGAAAGTTGTAGTAACACTTGAGTCATTACTATCCAAAACCTTACAAAAACCTCAAAAGCTTACAACGACTTCAGTAAATAAAAAGGTAGTTATCAAGCTTTTCACTTTAGAATACTGATCCAAATTATTAGTAGTTCCTTTAAGGATGTAGGTAACACTTGATTCATTGCTAACGGGTTACCACCATTACCTTATATTATACATTATGCATTATTAATTATGAACCTGTATATAGTAGTTCTTAGTCTTCAGTGAGGTATGAAAAATAATAGTTACTGATTAGCTAATAGTGAACTACCTCATTCGACTATGCACTATTACTTACTAATTCATTAATCAGAGTTTCTTGTTAGTTAATAGTTACTAGAATGTTACTAGTGCGTTTCTCATATGTTCCTGAGTAGTTATTCATTAATGAAGGAACAGTATTCAAGTGTTACCCAACGTTTTTGTGTTCTCTCTGAATTATATATTTGGGTAATTATATTGTATATAATTTGGGGTGGGAGCCGCCAACAAGAATATACAAGGTATTAAAATCGCTTTTGAATGCACACGCTTTTTACTTTTGCTTTCTAATTTGTGATCATGCGTACTCTGTGTATAGGGAGCGGTGGTACTGAGCACACATTTTACAAGATAAGATCTGTCAGTCATCTCTTCCTTCAATCTTCACGTGATAAGTGAAATCAAACCGACTACCACAGTAAGCCATGTCCCTGTCCCCTTATGTCCCTTTAGGGGCTCCATAGAATACGCTATTCATTTTCCGTTCCTAAATTTGGATTTAGGCTTCAGGCACAGCCCTAAATGACATCTTTCTTACCTCTGAAAAGACAAACCTTGCATCGAATGGATAGCTGAGCTCTCCCTCTTTGATGGCACTGACAGACGTTGGGCCACATCGATAAAAACCTGAATGAGAGAAGGAAAATAACTCAATGGCTTGGAGTGCCTCGATGCCTCACCACCATAGGCCTCTATAGAGAGATTGCACCCTCAAACTGCCCCTCACCAGTCTCACAGAGGAATTCAAGTGTGCTAAAGTAAGACTCCAGATGACACTGATTGAATCTCGGGATGTAATGGTGAGTAACAACGCTGGAAACAAACGGACTGCTTTCAACTCCCTACCACCATCAGCACCCAATCCACTGCAGATCAACTTTGTCCGTATGGGGGGAAAGGTAGCCAGGTGCAGGCCCACTTCTCTGGAGCATGGTCAGCTTCGAGGGGCCTGTGACTGGAAGATGCTAGTGGATGTTGGTCGGCGGCTCGTTTTTCCTCCAGAGATTGCCAGCACCACACTTAGGCCTGACATAGTTCTCTGGTCACCCTCTCTGAAGAAGGTCGTCATCATCGAACTCACTATAACCTGGGAGGACTAGAGGCATATGAGCGGAAAAAAACTACGCTATATTTAGCTAGCTGCTGAAGCATTAGATTGCGGATGGAAAACTGAAGTCCGTCCAGTGGAGGTGGGGTGCAGGGGGTTAAGCAGTGTCTACCACCAGACTGCTTGGAGACCTGGGAATCAGAGGCCAGAGCCTGTGCCAGAGCCTCAAAGCAATGTCTGAGGCAGCTGAGAGAAGCAGCCAGTGGCTGTGGATAAAGAGACAAGACTCTTGCTGGGCTCCAGCTTGATTGGGGGGATACACTGTGGGGACTTGATCACCCCCGTAGGGCCTTCCTCAACCGAGGATGTCTAGTTATAATGGCCAAAACATCCAATGAAGTCTGAGGTGTACTACTGACGATGTGTCCCTCGGATCACCCATCAAGGGAGGATGCCCACCCAAAAACTCCACTGTGACAACTACACTGCCAAGGTCAAGTACATTCTCCTGGAACGCGTTTGCACTTAAAGGATGCAGTACATCTCGTCCTGTGTTTCCTGAAAACTAAAGGTATATTTATGATGGTTCAGAAGTCATGGCAAGGATCATACCATCACTGGTCTCCTGAGGGGTGGAGTCGATCACCTGCCAGCCAGAGAATTTTTTCGGCAGATCAGGTCTCTTCATGTACACCTCATTCCAGCAGTGGAAGTTCCTTTAAGAAAAACTCAACTGTATTACTAATCAACCTGTCAGTTTTAGAATATTGGATAGTACATTAACTCCATACTGAAAAATCATGCAATGTCTGAGATAAAACTGTGAATTATATTAACCAAGGAACCAATTTTTTGTAGTATAGGAGTAAGGACCACTTGAATGTAACACTATTTGTGTATCTCACCAGATTGAATCTTTTGTTCGACTTCGGTCCACTCTCCCGTCTTCTTCCAGCACAATGTCTGTATTCAGTTTGCCCGTGTTGTCGTGAGCAGAGTTGAAGTTGGTGATGACCCGTGTAGGGATCCCGAGACAGCGCATAACTGGGTGGAAAATATGAGGTAAAATGTGTTGTTAAATGTCACAAGCCTACAATTACTTAATTCTGAAAGTGTTTTAAACTATCATGAAGAAAAAGTTCTCAAACGGACGCCCCAAAGAATGTGCAGTGGCCATACTCACCAGTGTTCAGCACGCCGGCAAACACCCAGCACTGAGCGAAGCGCACAGGCTCACCATCTTCACTAGCATATTTGAGCAGGATTTCAGGACTTCCGGTCCAGGCAGTCGGTGATGTGCCATCGGAGAAATCGTCACTCCAGTTGCCAACCAGGACACCATCATCGTCATTGGAGTTAATCTGAAATATAACACCAAAAAGCCTAAATAAACAACATGTATTATATGTGTATTCATGTCAAATGGGTTTGTGGAATTGTCCATACTTTGATTACTATTATAAAATCATACCAGAGCTGATGCTTGCCGAACAATTTCAAGGGCACTTCCACGGAAAACTAGTGGTACTTTCCCAGAATCCAGAACAAAAAGACAGGCATCCAGAACCCCCTGTTCAAACTACAGGAAAACACATTAGAAGTTAATTCATGGGTGTCAAATCCTGGTCCTGGAGGGCCAGAGTTTAGCCAAAGCCGCTTTAAGGCAAGCCTTCAAGGTCAGCAAAAAATAGTGTAATGCTGTGGAGGAGAACAGAGGCTGTTTTTTTGTTTTGTTTTTGTTAATGGATGTCAATGGAGGAGAGGCTTCTCATTTAATGTGAATATTTTGTCAGCTTATCGTTTAATGAATGAACAGTCCCAATTGCCCCCATAAACCTTAATCGCTATTCCCTACGTTAGTCCACTAATATGGTTCACTTGAAGGAGTGAATGAAAACGAGTGAGCGAACTCGGACAGCCGTTGAGTGCACATCAGCTGAACACTCGTTAGGGCGGCGCAATGTGGGATAGAATGAGTGCACTCGATAACGTCCACCATGGTTTCGAACACCACTACAAATGGTGAAAAGTGGGCGATTGTGGATTCAGTTTCAACACTAATCAAACACATCTGGATCAGCTAATCAAGCTTTGGGGCTGTTGATGGACTCGATTTACTCCATCTATGTCTGCATCCGAAAACTAAGGCAGCTGACTTGTTGCCTCGCTGCCTTATTAACAATGACTCTGCAGGCAGGGTTTGCACATGAAGGCACCTCAAGAAACTGATTTCAGACAAGCTTCTGAGGCAGCGTTAAAGTTCAATGAGCTTTGGTGAGAACTAAACAAATATTTAATTACTACAGTAGTAATTTCTCGCTGTAAATGACATCAGTAGTGGAAAAGGTTGGTGAAAAATGTACATTTACTCAAACTGACCAGCATCCACAACTTTCAGACGCCATCTGTATTTTTTTGCTCAGCTGTCACAAAATGGAAAGCTCAGGATTGTGGGATATCAAAGGTAGCGAAGGATACATCAATGCTGATCAGATGAAGGCATCTCAGGAGAGAGGAAGTGAAGCAAACATTGCATTCGGACGTGTCTTGATGCCTTCATTCCCTGGAATGTGTCCTCTGAAGGCAGTATTTTTAAGTTTTCGAATGCAGCCTAAGTTTTGTTCATTGTTCTGAATCCAATCCAGATGAAGTCTTTGATAAAAATGTGATTGTCTCAGCTTTTTGTTCGAATTGTTGGTTTTTGATTAAATTTACACACATTCAAGTGTTGAAAGAAAGAAGCTTAGAATAAAATGTTTTTTTGTTGTTGTTTAAAAGCAGAAGCTCTGTTCTTTCTTTTGAAGTATTCAATGTTGACATATTCATACAACAAAATATTCTGGGGTCCATTAAAAAATTGTGAATATGATCAAAAATGCTGGCACTGACTGGCAACTTAAACACAAACCTCTGGCAGGGAAAGAGTTTAGGGATGGCATATGGGCCTGAGCTCAATAGGAGAACATTTTTTTATTTCCTTGGGGGAAAAAAACTGTATTACTGCTAACCTGTCCAAAGTTCCATGAACGGGAGGTAAAGTTATTGAATTCTCCATTGTAGATGGTCCCCACATCATTCATCACATACTCCTGTCTGTCGCTTTCTCTGGGAATGTACACCTGATCCGCTGGGAAGAAAAACATACAATATACATCCTTCATAACCATTTATGTCAGTGCTGAAAAAATGTAAGTTTGCTGGACGTGTGCATTAAATCCACGCTAACATCCATACAAAAAAGTGCTTAGTGCCATGTCAGGGTCTAAGCAAATGTACACACTTTTCCATGTGGCAGAGAGTATTTGGAAATCTAAGCAATTCTTGCCACTCACCGTTCTCAAGTAAAGGTTTTGGACGTTGACTGGTGCTGTTTTATATGTTAATGACATTAATTAGGCACAGTTTACAAGGCAGAGATCTGAAACCATTCAGTTGCTCCCAATTTCGCCAATGATCATAAGATCAAATTTAGGACGGTTTTCTATGCAACATTTTATTGATGGGGCCTCTTGATTCCTATTGGTTGAGCCGCGTTCAAAGCCATTGTAAATTACTCTACAAACATAGACCTGTGACCTCATTACATCAATATTTAAAGTATATTGTTATAGACTAACCTTATTTTATAAAAGCAATCAGCCTTGTGAAGCTGTGGTTTACAGTGAATTTAGAACCGCTAATGGGGTTTTCTAAATTCACTGTAAACCATGGCTTCACAGGGCTTATGGCTTTAAGCGTAACTATTTTACTCACCAGGGTCCCAAGGATTGAACAGCACATAGACATCGGTGTCAGTGTTCCTCTTAGTGCGCTGTTTTCCCAAATCACTCACAACTACAACAAAGATTCGAAACCGGCCAATGATGCAGTTGGCGTCTGGTGTTACGCCCACGGTCACATAATTGCCTTGTATTTCCACCACACGACTCTTCCAGCGCACTTCAGGTTTCTCTTTACCAATGGGCAAAATAATGTAGGTGCCCCTTTTTTCATCAGGTGCACTGCCTGTGAAATGAGCAGAACAGCAGACATGACCTGTGTTAGACTATGGGGATATTTCATGCACTAATGTAATGTACTGCTTCTTCATTACAGATGTACTTTATCATGCATTGAGATTTATTACTGGATGCAGAATCTCACCAATCAGGAACTCCAACTCCAAATTGTCCTGCTGTTCATTTAAGTCCCGGTTAAATTGGATGATGATGGTGAACTCTTTATTCCTGCGCACGATGAGGTTGGAGCTCACGTACTTGTGAGTGTTGTGGTCTTTTTTGTTCTCTGTCACACGCATGTCAACGCTCAATACTGAGACACTTGCAGCTTGTGTTTCTAGAAGAAGAAAAAAAGACTTGCTGAAAGACTGTGGTCTGTTATTTTGGTTAGGGCATGTTTAAATGCAAACACGTGTAAGACTTTACCTTCATCCAGGGGTCCCCTTGGCCTCAAAACATCAAATGCCACAAACTCAGGTGGATTATACTCTTCTAAATTTGATTTGGCAAAGGGAATACGGCCGCTTACCGAGTTGGGGTTGGGTTGTAATAACATGGTGTACACAAGATGGCTTGATGTTTGTCTGGAGGACAGATCATTTTAATGTTAGAAATCTACTGACAACATTATAGACTGCCCATTTGGTAAACATATTAGATATTTCAGATGAGGCATGGCAAGAGGAAAGCACAACTAAAACACAACCAAACTTTTGTATTAATGCTAAAGAGTTTAGTCATTAAAAGCGTTGAACTCACGGTGTGTGTAGAAGAGTAGATGTTCTGCTGAGGTGAGGAGGCTCCAGGCTGATGTGCTCATGAAGAGCTTCATGCTGATTAATAAAGGCTCAGGACTTCCTCTTCCACTGGAGAAAAACACATCCATGGAACCAGAGCGTCCGAAGTTAAGATGATCCCAAGATCAGGTCAGTCCGACCTACAACTCTGTGACCTTGCTTCTGATTCTTGATGACAGCAGCATATTCCAGACTGTCAATAACATGTAGATGAGATTATAATACTAATGTATTATAGCAATTCCTACAATATTTAATTATGAGAAGTAAAGTTAAGAAGTGAGCCGTAAACATATTTAAGGTCTTTTGAAGATTTCTCTAAAGCGTTAATGATAAGATATACGCACAATATGTTGAAATGAGGTGTTTGAATTGAGAATAAAGTAAAATAATATAATGTGATTGGCAGAAATCAATCATCAACAGTTCACAGAAATCATTGACATCTCTCAATTAAACAAATGATAGGGACATTTTAAAGCAAAAAAAAAAGCATTGAGATTGAAATCATTAAGAGTGTAAATACAAATTAATACTTATGACCTTTGTATTTTTAAACCAAACAGTGCTTCACATATACAGCAATTCCTTCATCAGCCAACAAGCTTTATCACACCAGTCTAAATAAGGTTTAGATCACAATTGTATCATGTTCAATTACACATGTAAAGGGGTGGTTGATTATGATTTCACTTTTCTAACTTTAGTGTGTAATGTTGCTGTCTGAAAAACAACATCTTCAAAGTTCAAAGCAAAGGGAGTTATTTTCCTTTACAGAAATGGCTTTTTAAGGAATACAACAAACGACTGAGAGGGACTCCACAAGCTCCCTCTCGGGTTAGTGACATCACAAACCCTAAAATTTACATAAACCCGCCCCTGGGAACACAACAAAGGGGGTGAATCCATGAGAAGATGAGTTGTAGTCGAGCACATTTGTGAGTCGGCTCAAGCTGTCGCATCAGTCTTTTCACATTTATTGCAATACAGTACGTAACACAAATGTGTTATTAGCATGTCACTCTGTAGGCGCAAAATGAACCTTTGGTCTAATAAAACATTGGTACCTAGTCAACCGTTCTCTGAGATTTGTTTTCATGATAATCGCATGTAAAGAGTTTTATCTCTAAAAACTGTTTAGCGTATAACGCTAGTAATGGGGGCATATAATAAGTAAAAAGAAATCGCTAGTTAATACCACTAACAAGGCTCAAAATAGCCCCACACGAACACAGTAACATAATGAGGGTCCCTACATGCAAAACGAAGCATTGAGAACTTTGTAAGTGTACAGACTGTTTAATAAGAAGATAAAGATAAAGACAGTCCACTTCGTGTATACAGACAGGAGCCATCTTTGGAAAACAGTCTCGACTAATCAAACCACGAACGCCATTCATACAGTTCAGAAGTTCACTGAACTTCATACAGTTCAGCTCACTTAGCACCTCGTTCGTGGTTTGATTAGTCATCTTCTATCTTCTTATTAAACGGTCTGTACACTTACAAAGTTCTCAATGCTTCGTTTTGCATGTAGGGACCCTCATTATGTTACTGTGTTCATGTGGGGCTATTTTGAGCCTTGTTAGTGGTATAAACTAGCGATTTCTTTTTACTTATTATATGCCCCCATTACTAGCGTTATACGCTAAACAGTTTTTAGAAATAAAACTCTTTACATTCGATTATCATGAAAACAAATCTCAGAAAACAGTTGACTAGGTAGGCCTACCAATGTTTTATTAGACCAAAGGTTCATTTTGCGCCGGAGTTCTGCTTTAACTTAGGGGCTGCTAACACAACACCGTTCTAACAGAAAACCCTTAACGCGCTCCGGCCGCTCACTCGCACAACAGTGCCTGGCGGCTCGACAACGCAAACCTTGAAATAGGTTTCAAGATGCAAGCCTTGAAAAATTTTGCAAAAAAAAAGTTTTCTCTGCACAAACTTCAAAAACGCAAGCCTGTGAAAACGCTGATGGCGTTATTACGTGTTTAGTCTATAGGTATACGCGTTTGAGTGTAGGTGTGCGCAGGAGTGTAGTCTTTCTTTACAAATTGACCTCAACAGATTACTTGTCTGGCCTTAAAATTAAAATTAACTTAAAATTATCTGAATTATTTATCGCTATTATTTATGCGTTGTCGTCGTGTCCAGGCGCAGGTCCTTCATCAGGTCTGTATACGGCCTGGATCCGGCGAACTGCGGTTGTCATGGTTTGGGTTTTGTTTCTTGTTCCTGGCTCTTGTCTGTCATGTGATCCCATGTTCTAGTCATGTGATCTTGCCTTGCGTTCCCTTGTCTGTTGTGTCATGTTGTCATTGGTTGATTGTTTAAATGTTCTCAGGTGTCCCTTGTCTCGTCGTTAGTACTGTATGTATTTAAACTCTCATGTTTGCCCTGTGTCTTGGTCGAGTATTGTTTGTTCTGTGCCCTGGCTCCAGTATCTTGCTCTCTAGTCTTGGTTTGTGTTCCTGTTTTAGTTGTCATCTTGTTTTGTAATAAATTGCGTTTGGGTTCTCACCTCAACTTGCTTCCAGTGGACTTAATTGTAACAGAGGTAAACCTTGGGATGAACAGAGAGACTAATATGAGCGTTGACGCCATTCTTCTTATGATGTAACGAGTACATCAGGATTTATTGGAAGTGTTCCCAGTTCACTTCACTTCTAGGTTAATTACTTGAAGATAGTTAACTCCACATCATACATAAATTCATCAACTAGCCAATCAGAAACATCCTGTTGCTTCTTGTCACTTCTTCTTGAGTCTCTCCATCATTTTCCGACTTCGGTTTTAACATAAAATGCAGAACAGTTTCTGACATTTTAGTGTGTGTCTGCAAGCTCCTAAGGACACCAGCTGTTGAAGCTCCGCCCCCTGTGCCGGGAGCATCAGCTCTTTTGCATTTAAAGGGACACACACAAAACAACGCGTTTTTACTTACCCTCGAAAAGGGACAATTTTAACATGCTATAAAAAATTATCTGTGGGGTATTTTGAGCTGAAACTTTACATACACACTTTGGGGACATCAGAGACTTATTTTACATCTTGTAAAAAGGGGCATTATACCACCCCTTTAAAAAAATGGTCCTTTTTTTCCTTGAAAAAAAATGATTCATGCCTTAAAATATCTTGAATGTAACTCGACACCCTTGCCTTATTTAGTATACTCCGTTCTATGAATATGCAAATGAGCCCCGCCTCCACCCACTCACTCAGCTCAGAGATCCACTCGTTGACAAACACATGTTGATCTGATTGGTTACAAGGACGTTTGTGACGTCAGAAACACCAGCGATTTCAACCGTGTTTTTGAGACTGTCTTTGGTTCACTGCAGTTTTAAGGAGAAAATACCCGGCAATCCTGTTGACTTAAAGCATATTAAAAACACCACATGAACATATAAACAACATTAAAAGCTTGATTTTCACCACAGGGGGACTTTAAGAAAGTGTTTTTAAGAAAGGAACAGCTACATGCTGGGATGTGTGACTTTACTTTATTGTGAATTTAATGAATGGGGGGGGGGGGGGGGGGGGGGGGTTGTACAGTAATGGCCAAAAGTGATGTCCGGAGAGGATATTTGCACAATATTTGCTTTTAATGACACTTAATGTTATATTAAACAATCAAAATATGAAGATTATGTTTTAATGAGTTAAGGTTAAAATGACAAAATAATTTGATAAGAAAGGCAACCTGCAAAAAAAGGCATAGAAAACAAAAATCTCAAGGGAAAAAATCATACATTGACTACAATGTAATCAGTTTTTAATATTTTGTTGGTTCTCCCGTGTTTTTGATTACAGCAGCCATTCTCCTGCTGGGCATTGTGCATGCTTTTCAGCTTTGCTACTTCTTTCCAATCCTCCTCGAGTTCTTCCCAAAGTTGGGCTTCATTGGAAGACCTGCATGACTTATCACATGTTTTCAATGGCTTTAAGGTCAGGGGACTGAGGAGTTGAAGACCGTTTTGAATCATTATCATGTTGGAAAATACACATTTGATCTCAAAACAGATCCTCTGTTCTTGGCTACACTCCAGTCGTGTCAAAATATACAAATAATTCTTAAAAAATTACAAAAAAAAAAAATATTATATACAGTTGGATTTCAGGAAGTGTCTATGAGATCATGTCAATAAAACCTTGTTAGTGAATACGGGGAAGTGAAACTTGTGACACGCTGACATTATCATTTGACACAAATGAGAAGTAAAGTTGCCTCGTTCCGCGTATTTCACCTAAAATTACTGAGAAGCTAGTCAGATTCTGGGTCTAAAGCAACTGAAAGGCTATGAAGTTACGTCTGTGTGATAATATGTTGTTGGTTCTGATTCTGAGTATTGTTCAGATGAATTGGGTTTCCTCTCAGGATCACCAATGGCCTCTTCACACAGTGTGCAACTCAGACAGACTCACGGTGACCTACAGAAGCTGCGGTGAGATCAGTGTTACACACACTACTGTCAGTGAGATATTTTATTCAGCATGGATGCATTAAATCGATCAAAAGTTACACTAAAGTAATGTTACAAATGATTTCTATTTCAAATAAATGCCGTGCTTTTGAACTATATTGGTCAAAATAACTCTGAAAAAAGGTATCACGGTTTTCACAGAAATATGAACTGTTTTCGACATTGATAATAATCAGAAATGTTTCTTGAGCAGCAAATCATCATATTAGAAATTTCTAAAGGATCATGTGACACTGAAGACTGGAGTAATGATGCTGAAAATTCAGCTTTGA